ACACTATCCACCAACAAGTTCTAGCTCTTTATTCTTTTTCTTCAAGATTGTCTTGAAAATTGCCTTGGCTATTCTTGGCCCTATGCATTTCCAGATAAATTTCAGAGTCAACTTTTCAATGTTCACACAAGAAAAACCTGCTGGAATTTAGGAATTTATTGAATCTATTGATCAATTTGGCTTTGTATGCAGATATCATGCTAAATTTGCATATTTATTCTAATGTTTTATAAATTCTTTTGGATTTTCTACATAAACACTCTTCTTGTCTGCAAATAATAGCAATTGCATTTTTTATAACAATACCCTGATGACAAATTCTGTCAGTTTTTGTTTGTTTGAAAATACCATTTTTAGTCTTTTTTTTTTTTTTTTTGGAAGACTTTTTGCTGGAGATAGAAATCTAGACAGACAGTTACTTTGTCTCAGCACTTTAAAGATATCATTTCATTGTTTTCTGACTTTCATTGTTTCTGAATTCAGTTATTAGTCTTATGGCTCCTTTGAATGTAATTTGTCTTCCCTGCCCTCCCCGCCCCAGCTGCTTTAAATATTTTCTGTCTGTGTTTGCAACAGTTTTACTTATGGTATTCTTAGATCTGAGTTTTCTCTTTATTCTCTCTCTGGTTCTTGAATCTGAGACTTGATCCCTTTTTTCAGTTTGGAAAATTCTTAGCTATTATACTTTCAAATATTGTCTCTGCTTTATTTTCTCTCTTCTTCTAGAACATCCAATCATGTCCCATATGTCTCCTTTGCTCTTTTCCGTACTTTGCCACATTTTTCTACACCCTGCTTCATTCCACATATTTTCTTCTGAACTATTTTTTAGTTCACTAATTCTCTCAAGCTATGTCTCATGTATTTTTAAACCATTCAATTACTTTAGTCTGCTGAGGATTTGAGATGATTCTAAATAGAATTTAATCCTACGAGGGCTGTTTCACACATACTCATATGGTATAGTCCGTTAGTGTTCCAGCCAAACCCTAGAGTGGAGAGCAGGGCATGGCAGTTTCTAGAGCTCCTCCTCGTTGATGAGACCTATTTTTCAATTTTTGGTCCCCCAGCCCCATAACCTATTGAAAGCTCTGTTCAGCAATTATATTCATATTAAACGATACTGAAATAACCAAGTATCCTTTTTTAAATAAATTTTATAGCTTTTCCTTTTATAATGATCTAGTCTGGCCTCTAAGATAATGGCATAGGTTCAATAAATGTTCAAGAGTTGAAAGAAATAATTTATTTTAGATTTTCCCTTTAGGTAGAACATGGAGCCAAATTTATCCCAGTATTAGAAAGAATTTCCCAATTATTAGAGTCATGCAGAAATGAAAGGGACTGCCTCATAAACAGAAAGTACCCGTCACAAGAAAATGTTCAAGCAGAAGTTTAAAAACTGTTTGTCAGGGAGGCTGTGGAGATGATTATAGGTTTGGCATTAATTTGGGCTAGATAACCTCCGAGCTTTTTCCATCTCTTAGTTTCTGTGATTCCAGTTTTTGTTCCAACTGTGATCTTTCTCTTTTCTTTTGGTGCTTTGCTTCATTATTTCTGACAGTGAAGCTTATCTGAATTATGGGGTCTAGGTCTTCTAACACATCTCCATAAAGAATAGGGCAGTACGGATTAAAATGAGCTCACTTTGTAGTCTGACATATATTTGCTTATGCAAAAAGCAGTCATGGGTTTTTAAGGGACTTTAAAAATTGATACAGTAAAATAGACTTATCTATGTAATTACAGAAAAAAAGATTGATTTCAGTGATTCAATGGGAGAAACAAAATTAACAACTGGGACGTTTACTATTATGTAGACTGAAGTGATATTTCAATTTTTGTTCTCATTTATTCACTTATTAATTCAGTCAGCAAATATTTTCTGAGAACATAGGCATAGAAAAGGTGTGTCAAGGATCTGATGACAGCCACTTTATTTGGTGATACTTCTTAACATTTCACAATTGGATTTCATGAAAACTGTTTAGGTGCTTCACGTGCTTTGAAACAGAATGGTGCCTGCTTCTGTTTTAATTGTTGGCAACAAACAAATAAATAAACAATTTAAGTATTTGCCATTTAAAATGAGGCACTGTTGGAGACCATGAAGCTATGATGACTGGGCATATATGGGTGTTAACAGAAATCAGATGGGTGTCCCAAAGGTATACTTTGCCACCTTCTTCTACACCCTGTTTCATTCTGGATATTTTCAGTTCAGAGGTGACTCCACATGACTTCGGCCACTTTGTTGAGCAATCATTTGGTTATCACTAGCTGTCATGGTGGTCTCACCTGTTTTACTTTTTCTCACTCCAAGTCATACATTATTTAGTTTATTCCAAAGAAAGATGGCAAATTAATCATAATTATAAAATTAAATGACTTTTCAGATTGACCTCAAGATAATCTATATCAGATCTGAAGTTGTATTCATGGGTCAAAATCTTACATAAATTTCAAGCTGTCTCTTGTGTTTCAAAAGTCAATAGTAAAAGACTTTCGAAATATAGTGATGATTATATATATATAAAGCTAGCCATAACCTTACTGTATTATATACAGAGAAACACATTCCAGTCTTAAAACAGAACACAGAATTTATTACAGTACATCATTCAATTGTTTAAGAGTAAAATGCAAGAAGTTTTTCCCTGCATTCTATACTGAACTGGTAGTTTAGGTTTTTTTCTATATTTTAATATACATTATCACCAAACCAAGCACAATGTAATGTGATTTAATTTATTTGTCAAAAATTGTCCTCTTCCTAGAACAGGATACAAGGAAAAGATCAGTCCAAAGGACTAATGGTCCACAGCTACCAAGGCCTCCACCAGACTGAGTCCAGTACAGCTAGATGGTGCCCAGCTACCACCACTGACTGCTCTGACCAGGATCACAACAGAGGGTTCTGGACAGAGCTGGAGAGGGATGTAGAGCATAACTTTAACTCACAAAAAAAAGACCGGATTTACTGGCCTAAAGGAGACTGGAGAAACCCCGAGAGTATGGCCCCCAGACACCCTTTTACCTCAGTGGTGAAGTTGTCTCCGAGGTTCACCGTTCAGCCTGGGAATGGACAGCCTCGTAAAACCAAATGAAGCTAACGAGGTACAGGAGTCCAGTGACAAGGGCCAGAAGGCAGAAGGGGACAGGGAAGCTGGTGATAGGGAACCCAAGGTTGAGTAAGGATATTGTTGATGTGTTGTGAGATTGTTAACCATTGTCATAGGGCAACATTTGTAGTAACTGTTAAATGAGAAACTATTTTGTTCTGTAAGCCTTCATCTTAAGTGAGAATAACAGCACAATTGGAAGAGCGTAGTCAATGTCACTGAACTGTGTATGTAGAAATTTTTTAAACGGTATATCTTTGGCTATGTGTATTTTCACCAAAAAGAAAAAAAAAAGGTTGAGAAGTTAGAGGGTTAATATGTTGTGGGGTTGTTAACCAATGTCATAAAACAACATGTGTACTACTGTTTCATGAGAAACTATTTGTTCTGTAAGCCTTCACCTGAAGTACAATAAAATATTTAAAAAAAAAATTGTCCTTTTCCTTATATAATTTATTTAAAGTAAATTTGAAAGTGTGTCATTTTTATGTTGGGTAAAGCTAAGATTACAAAAGCTATATTAAATATTAATTTTATAATATCTGACAAAATAAAAATTTTAACTTCAGATCATCTCTTTAATCTTGTACCACACAAAAATTACTAAGTCATTTTTTACAAATGTAAGCGTTCTGAAAAGCAAAGTTTTAAAAAAAAATTGAGACATACAAAAATACTAAGATGAATTTTTCCCCGTATTTTACAGATGAGAAAACTGAGGCTCAGAGATTTGAACACGTGCCCAAGAACAAACAACTAATTGATAGTTGATTGTAGATTCAAACTCAGAACCATGTGATTCTAAAATTCATGCTCTTAATCACTTATCCTGCTGTGTGCCTGTGCTTAACACGGTAGCACTGGGAATCAGGGAGGGGGGACAGGGAGCCTAGATGGCATTTCAAAGACAAAATCCATAGGCGGCGCAAATAGTTCCATAGGTTGAAGTTTCGGTAAACAAGGGCTAGAAATAATACAAAGGCTTCTAGCTAAGAGATTTAGGAAAATTATGTTGCACCATAAAAATAAATAAAGCAAACAAACAAATAAGCCAAGATAAGAATTTCATTTAGGTGGAAAGGTGCTGCGATTGATTTTTGTCTTGCTGAGTCACAGGTAACATAAACACTAGTTCTAATTTAGTTAAGTAAAAACTGTTTATTTCATTGGTTCTTTTCATGCCATTCCTTGGTATTTTCAGAGATGCATGAAGGCCTTTGAACCATTTGGTGCTTTGGGATAGTGGAAGGAACACAGGCCAGAGACCAGACAGACCTAGATTCAAACATCAACCTTTTGGCCTTATAGACCATATGGCCTCGAAGCAATATGTAATTTCTCAGAGCCTCAGTTTGCCCGTTTATAAAATGAAGATATTATTTACCTTGCAGACTGTGGTAAAATTTAGCAATATCATATACAAATAACTTAGTATTGGGCCTGGTATACAGTAGAGACTTACAGAATTATAGCAAATGGTAATAATAGCAATAGTACTTCTTTACTGTAGAGAACATCTGTGGCACAATAGTTATCTTCCCACTAAAGTCAAGTCACATATACCCTTTGGCAAAGTTTGGCCTACATTGTTCTTAATTCAACCTGGAAATCTATTTGAGCATAGACAAAGAATGTTTTCCGGAAATATGTAGGGCCACTGCATAAAGCCATGCGGGTTGGCAGATGCCATTCAATGACTGTAAAGAAAATGGCGCCTCTGGGTCTTGTGCAGAACAGCAGCACTGGAAATGTGCTGACAGAGACATATAGGGCCAAATAGATGGCAGCCTCAGTAGAACCAAAGAGATGCTTGCCACTGTCCACACTTGCATTGGCTGTACATTGACTGCCTGCCTACTTGTTTGATGCTCTTCACAGATCTGTACCCCTGACCTGGTGGTATTCCTAGCTTGTGCCAGTCAGAGACTCAAAGAAAGATTGCTGAAGCGTGCAGAGCAACAGGGGAGGCCTGACGACAATGTGAAAGCTACCCAGAGGAGACTGATAAACTTCAAACAGAACGCTGCTCCGTTGGTTAAATACTTCCAGGAAAAGGGGCTCATCAAGACAGTAAGTTAACTACTTTTACATATCCAGAGCGAAAACAAACTTTCAGATTTCTAAGAAGCCCGTGCTGTCGTTTAGAAACCTTCTTTACTTTAGAGAAGTGACTATTTTGGTGTACAATGAAAAAGTTAATGATTTTAACCAGATTTGCCTTTATTAAGCCATAATGACAAAAACTTTCATTTTAGTTTGATTTAGAGAAATATGATAAATTTTAACCTTGGCTAGAATTCCTTAGCCCCATTTTTTTAAAAAGTATTTTAAAATAATTATTTGGGTAACTTTAAGCAGTATTTGCCCAATTTCTCAACTCTTCTAGCTGCCTTTGAAAACCCGATAAAATTGATGGACTTAAAACACACAGTTTGACATGGTGTTATATTGGACTTAAGTATATGTTAGCCTTTGTTTACCATAATGTACCACATAAAGAAATGAGATTCTGATTGCACAAAAAAAACTTGCCTCAAGGTTCGACTTGTCGTAAGAAAGTGATAGGGTTTCAAAATGGAAGGTGTTCATCTGTCTGCTCCATTTGATACAATGCAAATATTAATGTTTCATAAATGTTCATTTGTTCATTTTGTGGTTAATGATATTGAATGTGCCAAAGAATGATAAGGCTGAATTATTAGGTAATACGGTTATTAGAATATAAGAAGTTAAAGGTAAAGATTCAGCTAAATTTATGATCCCCAAATATCAGAGATTTAACTATTAAAACATGAAAAAACAAAAACTGTTGCTGTTGAGTCGGTTCCAACTCATGGCAACCCCATGTGTGTCAGGGTAGAACTGTGCTCCATAGGGTTTCAAGCTGGTTTTTTTGGAAGTAGATCACCAGGCCTTTCTTCCAAAGTGCTTTTGGGTGGACTTGAACCTCTAACTTTTCAGTTAGCAATGGAGCATGTTAACTGTTTGCACAACTCAGAAACAAAGAAGATGTAGACCATCTGGAGAAACCACATCTGGACACTAAGACCAGAGTGGTTCTATGACAGCTGGATGGTGGCAGACCTTGGCAACTCCCCCCCACCCCGCCCTTGGACCCTTTACCACAGACCAGGGATTCTTGTCTAGTAGGGTCACAAGCCCCCTGGAGAATCCGATGAAGGTGACGAATGCCCACCCCAATAAAATGCACGTAAGACATTTCCACTAATTTTAGGTAAATTAGCTGAAGCCCAACCACAGAGCTCCTGTGACCCAACAACTCCTGTGTTAAAAATCTCTTCATTAGACTAAAATACCCTTAAAGCAGAAAGAGACAGCCAAGACATTTGAATAATAATCTCTTTGTAGTCTTTTTAGCACTATAAGGAAATATTTATTATGAATCACTGTTTGAGTCAAAGTTGTCATGTTGGAAAGTTGTAAATCTTGTCTAAAAATTGTTCACCATGCTGGAGTTCATTTTTTAATCCTAAAACAGTCATTGAGCAATAGGAAAGATTCATAAAAATTCATGGTGATGTTTCTGCAGCTATTTTTTTGGGGGTTGTTACTCGTTTTTCTTACAAATCACCAGTGCTGACTTTTGTATTGTGTCAGGAAAGAAGAAATTTCCAGACCAAACCCCAACTGCAAGGCACAGAGCCAGAGTTTTAATTGATGTTTGCAAGCCTAAAGGTATTACCGGATTGTCTCTGTGATTACTCCCTGCTTGTCACATTCGTCATCACAAGCAGAGCAGATTTCCCCAATGAATGCAGAGTGGGGTTTGTTAATTTACTAATATTTTGCATGGAGGTGAAATGCCATTGCGTCTAATTGAGAGAGTCAATACCAAGGTGGATGACAGACTGCAGCCTCACTGCTAAAACCAAATGAGCTTTAAGATAAACGCCTCTAACTACTGGGAGAAGACTTGCCTTGAAAAGTCACCTTTTGGAAAGTGAAGAACACAAACACAAGCTGAGCTCCAGGGAATATAATATGAAAAAAATAGGTACAAGAACTACATCCTGAAAACTGAACAACACCTTGCTCAAAAACTGCTGGGTTATAGAAGAAATTAAGGATGGAATAAAGAAATTCATAGAATCAAACGAGAATGAAAACACATCCTACCAGAACCTTTAAGACACAGCAAAAACAGTGCTCAGAGGTCCGTTTATAGCAATAAATGCACACATCCAAAAAGAAGGAAGGGCCATCATCAAAACATTAACCCTACAACTGGAACAAGTAGAAAGAGAACAGCAAAAGAAGCCCTCGGGTGCCAGAAGAAAGGAAATAATAAAAATTAGAGCAGAATTAAATGAAATAGAGAATAGAAAAACAATTGAAAGAGTTAACAAGACCAAATGCTGGTTCTTTGAAAAGATCAACAAAATTGATAAACCATTGGCCAAACTGACAAAAGAAAAACAGGAAAGGAAGCAGATAACCTGTATAAGAAATGAGTTGGGTGATATCACAACAGACCCAACTAAAATGAAAAGAATCATAACAGAATACTATGAAAAACTGTACTCTAACACATTTGAAAACCTAGAGGAAATGGACAAATTTCTAGAAAGTCACTACCTACCTAAACTAACACAAACAGAGGTAGAACAACTAAATTAATCCATAACAAAAGAAGAGATTGAAAAGGTAATTTAAAAACTCCCAACAAAAAAATGCCCTGGCCCAGATGGCTTCACTGGAGAATTCTACCAAACTTTCAAAGAGTTAACACCACTACTACTAAAGGTATTTCAGAGCATAGAAAAGGATGGAATACTCCCAAACGCATTCTATGAAGCCAGCATAACCTTACCAAAACCAGGTAAAGACACCACAAAAAAAGAAAATTACAGACCAATATCCCTCATGAACATTGATGCAAAAATCTTCAGCAAAATTCTAGCCAATAGAATTCAACAACATACCAAAAAAATAATTCACTGTGATCAAGTGGGATTTATACCAGTTATGCAGGGATGGTTCAACATTAGAAAAACAATCAATGTAATCCATCACATAAATAAAAGAACTACATCCTGAAACACGTGCTGGCTTTCAAAACCTGGATCAGAGCTCACTTTTGCAATTAAAATGTATTTGGTTACACTTCTGGTTATAAAGATGAATGAAATAATAAAATGGCTATCCTTATTAATCACAAGCATATTAGGGTTTGAATAAAAATCTGGGGGTTAATAGCTCAAACTCAAATATTTTTACTCTGTAGTTTATTTTTTTGCTTCTACCCACCCCTCCTAATTCATTCATTTATTCATTCAATTAATATTTATTGAGAACCAGTGGGTGGCAGATATTCTTGTAGGTGCTAGGGGTGCAAAGCTAAATCAATAATAAACAAAATAAAGTTTTATTTACTGATATATTTTAAGCACCTAGAACAGTGCCTGCCTGGTACACAGCAAGCTCTCAGTAAATGAACAGAGTTTACAGGCTTTGGGAAAAGAGATCTTTAACAATGAGTTATTAAATGTGATGATTGTTGCAAAGGAGAATGTACAGAGTGGCCTCATATGTCACTGCATTAGGCATTGGGGTTCCCGGTAATGAATAGAACAGACCCCCTCCCTGCCCAGAAGCAGGACTAATCACTTATTTCAGTACCAGATTCTGCAAGACCACAAAGATCACATCTCTCTTCAGGCCAGTTCACCTCAGACTCACTTCAACTCAGCACTCCTCTTCCCTAGGGTTTTTGAGTCTGAGGTATCTCGATTGGAGTCTCAAATCCACAACCATTTAATAATTCGTGATGCCCCACAAGGTAGTAATCTCTAGGCTAGTCTCTTCTTTATCTGTAAATTGGAGAATGATGTTACCTACCACATAATGTTGTGTGGGTGAAACGAGAGAATGTGTGTAACATGGTAGATGATAATGGAGAGACTGCATTTGAGATGCACTATGAAGGCTGCACCATCCACTGCGAGCTGTGTGAGCTCCTGCAGGTTACTTGTCTTCTGTGACCCACATGCCTTAGTTGTAAAAGGGGTATAATCATTGATCCCACCCCAGTGTGGCTGTGAGGATTAAATGTATCTGAAGTACATAGAAAGGTGTCTGGAATGTTGTAAGGGCAATTTAAGTGATTGATACTATTTTATTATTTTTTGTATTTCTTCCTCTCTCTTCCTTCCCCCTCTAGGCCTTGTTTTTGGAGCCTACAGTTAGCACTAACAATTCTATACTCTTTGAGTGAACTCTGTTGCATTTTCCTCTTATATAGGTTATTGAAGAAATCCAAACTGAAGAATTTAGATTTTAAAAACATCATGCCAAATTCTTTTATTTTCTTTACAACTATATGTTGATCAGTTATAAAATTGTCTTAGTGTTTTCTTTAACATCTGTGTTGTTCGTGTAATAAGCTATTTAATAGCTATATCTGAATAACATAGCTCAATTATAATAGAAGTTAATCCAGTCTTTTTTTTTCTTTTCTATTTCATCATTGACTGTATGTCAGTTGGCAGATTTGACTAAGGAACAAACCCAGTTTGAAGAGAAACCCTAATCAAAATAACCAGGAAAGCCCTACTATTACCTGGATACTGTGTCTTACTGACACAGTTCCCATCATCACATGGACATCTTCATTTTTGTTATTTTAATATACTTGTATTAGTTTTCTAGGACCACTATAAAAATGTACCACTAACTGGGTAGCATAAAACCACAGAAATTTACTGCCTCACAGTTCTGGAGGATAGAAGTCCGAAATCAAGGTGTCAGCAGGGCCATGCTGTCTCTGAAGACTCTAGAGAAAGATCCTTGCCTCTTCCTATTTTTTGGTGGTTCCTGGCAATCCTTGGTGTTCCTTGATGTGTAGATGGATTGCTCCAATCTTTGCCTCCATCTTCACAGGACCATCTTCCCTCTGGGTGTCCCCGTGTCGCTTCTCCTCTTCTTGTAAGGACAATAGTCATATTGGATCAGGGCCCACCCTAGTTCAGTATGACTTCATATTTACTTAACTAATTGCATCATCAAAGACTCTATTTCCAAATAAGTTGGCATTTATAGGTACCAGATGT